ACTCTGTTCAAAATGTTCGCCTTGTAATAGTAAGATATCTGAAATACAGAGGGCGGACCTTTTATTATACTGCGTTTTAAGGTCCGCCCTGTCTCTTTCTCTAGTTTGTTTGCTACGAAAATAAACCCTGTTCAAAATTTTCGCCTTGTAATAGTACATTGTAAGATATCTGAAATATAGAGAGCGGACCTTTTATTATAATGCGTTTTTTAGGTCCGCCCTGCCTCTTTCTCTAATTTTTATGCTACGAAAATAAACCCTGTTCAAAATTTTCGCCTTGTAATAGTAAGATATCTAAAATATAGAGGGCGGACCTTTTATTATACTGCGTTTTAAGGTCCGCCCTGCTTCTTTCTCTAATTTTTATGCTAGGAAAATAAATCCTGTTCAAAATTTTCGCCTTGTAATAGTAAGATATCTGAAATATAGAGGGCGGACCTTTTATTATACTGCGTTTTAAGGTCCGCCCTGTCTTTTTCTCTGGTTTGTATGCTACGAAAATAAACCCTGTTCAAAATTTTCGCCTTGTAATAGTAAGATATCTGAAAAACAGAGGGCGGACCTTTAAATATACTGCGTTTTAAGGTCCGCCCTGCCTCTTTCTCTAGTTTTTTTGCTACGAAAATAAACCCTGTTCAAAATTTTTGCCTTGTAATAGTGAGATATCTGAAATATAGAGGGCGGACCTTTTATTATACTGCGTTTTAAGGTCCGCCCTGCCTCTTTCTCTAGTTTTTATGCTACGAAAATAAACCCTGTTCAAAATTTTCGCCTTGTAATAGTGAGATATCTAAAATATAGAGGGCGGACCTTTTATTATAATGCGTTTTAAGGTCCGCCCTGTCTCTTTCTCTAATTTTTATGCTACGAAAATAAACCCTGTTCAAAATTTTCGCCTTGTAATAGTAAGATATCTAAAAAGTAGAGGGCGGACCTTTTATTATACTGCGTTTTAAGGTCCGCCCTGCTTCTTTCTCTAATTTTTATGCTAGGAAAATAAATCCTGTTCAAAATTTTCGCCTTGTAATAGTAAGATATCTGAAATATAGAGGGCGGACCTTTTATTATACTGCGTTTTAAGGTCCGCCCTGCCTCTTTCTCTAGTTTTTATGCTACGAAAATAAACCCTGTTCAAAATTTTCGCTTGTAATAGTACGATATCTGAAAAACAGAGGGCGGACCTTTTATTATACTGCGTTTTAAGGTCCGCCCTGCCTCTTTCTCTAGTTTGTATGCTACGAAAATAAACCCTATTCAAAATTTTCGCCTTGTAAAAGTACGATATCTGAAAAACAGAGGGCGGACCTTTTATTATACTGCGTTTTAAGGTCCGCCCTGCCATTTTGACTAGTTTTTATTTTACGAAAATAAACCCTGTCCAAAATGTTTGCTTTCTAATGGTAAAATATCTGAAAAACAGAGGGCGGACCTTTTATTTTACTGCGTTTTAAGGTCCGCCCTGCCTCTTTCTCTAGTTTGTATGCTACGAAAATAAACCCTATTCAAAATTTTCGCCTTGTAATAGTACGATATCTGAAAAACAGAAGGCGGACTTTTTATTATACTGCGTTTTAAGGTCCGCCCTGCCATTTTGACTAGTTTTTATTTTACGAAAATAAACCCCGTCCAAAATGTTTGCTTTCTAATGGTTAAATATCTGAAAAACAGAGGGCGGACCTTTTATTATACTGCGTTTTAAGGTCATATAAAATTAATTTTCCACCGGAATATGGCTGAAATATAGCCGACTCGGCGTTAAACCCTAATCAATCAATCAATCAAACCATGACCCCCTAGGGGTAGGATGGGCCACAATGCACTATCAGGGTTTAGCATGTGAATGTATGGGGAAAAAAATCTAAAACCTTTTTTTTCAGGAACAACAAAGCCATGTTTAGTCACATTGATATAGAAGTATCCTGAGGTAGTGTAAATTCAAGTTTGTTTAAATCATGACCCCGAGGGGTAGGGTGGGGCTAGCGCTATATCTATAAAAATCATGACACCTGGGGTAGGGTGGAGTCACAATAGGGATTAATGTTTTACATTGGAAGATATGTTAGAATAAATTTGCTGATGAAAAACAGCAGGGCCTTATTGACTCAGGTGAGCGTTGTGGCCCATGGGCCTCTTATTTTATGTCAAGGTCTTGGAAAATCGTAGGACGATTCTTTTATAAAAGGCAGTGACGAATCTGAATGTATAATGGTATAGTACAATGTATATTTATCTAGAATATATTCACCACATACGATCAAAAGATATGTTCAGATTTATTATCCATGTATATCACAAAAATGTTATGTTAGAATGATCATTAGTTGTACTGTATCCGTATCTATAGACTTTGATTCATATAGCATGAAAAAGAGGGAGTATTTGTTTCTGTATTCATACAATGAATTGGGAGAATAATCACCTTAAGAATAAGAAAGGGGTTCATCAACACTACGTACATAATGTATGTGGTAAATGCCCTGTGTGACAAGTAAAAAGAAATCTGTAATACACCAGATGGTGTTTATTTTCTACGTACTTGATACGCAAGGAGCAGATGGAAATTATTGCCACCCCTCCCCCTCTTCCTCACCTGAGATGCAATGTATTACCGGAAATCTCTCCAGCCAATACCCGAAATTATTCATATAACATGCGCGGATCTGGGGGGGGGGGGGGGGGAGTCGGGAGGACCCCCCATCTGGAATTTGCAGAGTTATTAAAAGTATATACTGAAGTAAATAAAAAAATGACTTTGGACCCCCTTAGAAAACGTGGACCCTACCATCACCACCACGATATAGGTGTTTTTCACGTTTTGGAAATGGAATTGGATTTTACGTTTTTTTTTCTTCCTTGTCAAGAAATTTTTGGGTTAGAATTTTTTTTGACTGGCATGGACCCCCCCCCCCCCTGGAAAAATTCTTGATCCGCGCCTGTATAATCGTTATTCAAAATTGTTAGGTAATATCCGAATGTGCAATGTATAGCATTTATGAAAATCGACCTTCAAAAATTCTGTCATGACTGCATGAGACCGATTGTATTATTTCCTCCATGGTTACCACGGAGAATGACTGAGGACTTCGAAAAAGATAATTTAAGGACATTGGCAAAGTTCCTAGCTTTCGTAAAGAATTTTTCAAAAACTCTTGAGCAGGTGTAGTGGTACTAAACAATACACTTTATTGGTTTTCACCGCGTAGAAAATTCTACACGGGAGATCACTCTCAATCAAGCTCCAGACAGCTCAGTATTACTCCATATCATTATTCGTAGGGAAAGTAGTTCCCGGAGAGTATGGAGTATGACTCTCAGTCATACTTCATACTCCATACAGTGTTAATTCTCCGGGGCTACTTGGTATGGAGTTGTAGCGTAACGTAATACTGAGCTGTCTGCAGCTTGGACTCTCATGATGGAAAACCCCATGAATTACTTTTTTCTCCGGATAACCGTGAGTTGCCACTTTCCATAAATGAATAAAATAAATAATCATAAATAATCAGCGTTTTATAAAAGAAATATATTTTTGATTTAAAATTAGACTGAAACGCTTCTAGTCGACATCACGAAAATGTACATATCATGTAGCTTGAAATGGGAAATGTGACGCACGCTTGACAACGTCCCCAGAAACAATCAGTATATTTCTGGGTGCATTTGGGGGGGGGGGGGTTATTGCACAAATTAATGTAGAAAATAGAAATTCTTTGATACGCAAAAAAAGGAAGAGGATCAACTGATGTTCCCTCCCCCTTCCCCCGTTCATACAGACGTGAGATACATAAATGACTTGTATATAGAACTGGACATTCAACTTTGCCCAAAATGCTTCATGTCAGTAATAAAAGAAAATATTTTACAATAATGATTTCAAATTTTAATCGGTCATGCAATACAGCCTGCTAGATTATCCCACAGTCTGTCTATTATAGTCACAGTAAAATGTGTAATTTCTTTTTCTTTCTTTTTCTTTTGGCAAAAAAAAAAAAAAATACAAAAATGAAACATTATTTCATATGTAGTTCATTATGACGAGGAAGAGTGATATTTTTATAAGAAAGAATTAAATCCAAACCATGATTATACTTTAAATCTGATGTATATGTCTTCAACATTGAGTTACCTGTTTTAAGCTTTAACATTACATGTATTTTGTTTCTGCAGTAAATTTAGATCGAATACAACATTAGGCTATATATTACCCTATCCACAAATAAAGGGCAAAATATTATAAACTGAAAACAAGTTAATTGTTAAAACTAAAGGGAAGCATATACATACTTTTATTTTTTATTGGTCTTAGTATTAAACTCTACACTTGGAATAAGAAATTTCTTTAAATATTGTAATAAAAATAGACTATATATAATTATATATATCACAATTTTGATGTGTACGCATGAATTTCATAACAGTATTATAATTTGTTCTTCAGCATAATTTATTAAAATAGAGAATTCATATCTATTGGTTTAAAGCAAACACATGACCATTACATTGTCATTGCTATCTGCCGCGGGCTCTACCTGCGGGTACCTGTCAGGTATACTTCACACCCCCATTGTTTTATTGCCTATACACACCGGCAGATTTCACACCTTTAATCGTCCTAATTTACACAAAGCAAATGCTGGAGAAAAACAAACACAAATCCAATAAATGCGACATTTTTTTTAAATCATTGCCCTAAACGGTATTGCTAAAAGCACACTAAACATGGAGTAGCAATTCCTGCCCTAAGAGATATATTGTACGAAAAAATAAACACAACAGCAAGGGTAAATCCTTAATCTTTCTCCATATGATGTAAACAAACTCTCTTTAATTTTATGTGTTTAAGTCAAGATTTAAACATTTTTGCACCACCCGGACCTTTAAACTTCGGCGGACCTTTTCTTATACGGGCCGGACCTTTTCTTATAAAAGGCGGACCTTATATGTTATCGTATTAGGTCCCCCCGGACCTTTAAACGAGGCGGACCAAATATTATGCGACACCGGGCTCTCTAGCTGTCAAGCGGTCTCATGCTTCTGATTGGCCTTGCTTCTCTACATCCTATCAAATGAAAGTCAAAAGGTCAAAGTGTGACCCAGTTAAGATCCTATCAGAGATGTTTCTGAATATAAAACAAATCTGAAAATGAATATGAAATGAATTTGATTCGGAAATATCTTAATTTGAAAACTTAAAAAATAACAAATAAATAATTTTAAAATAATACACCGAGAATATGATGAGTGTATTGTGGCGTTAATTATTATGTATTTCATACTTACATCTATATTTAGCAAATTTATTTCATATATTAAACCCAAAATGTTAAGTAAACAAAGGAAACGTAAGTCAGAAATTTTTTTGCGATATTTCAATATTTCTACATATGTATTGATATGCCTATTGTTGTCTTCACACAGAATAGATATTATCGATATCTTGATACATTGTCCCAGCCCTATGTTAAATAAGGAATCAACAGTAACCTGCATAATGGTTGGCAATTAAGTTCATTTTTGCTTACTATATTGCATAAAATTTAGGGATGTCAAAATATTTATTTTCCTTAGTCAAATATTTGATTGCATTATTCGAACGATAGTCGACTATTCGGAACATCAAAATGTCTATATTACACACAGATACTGTACGTGTATTCAAAATTTAGCGCAATCAAGGGGTATAGATTTGTTGGTGTAATCATGAATTAGTGCTAAGCATGTCCGTGCCGTGTATTGTATTAGTAAATGATTTCTTAGCGGTATTCATGAATTAGCGCATCGTTGTCTGCGCCAAAGCTGCTAAAATATGAAGCCCGCTTTTTTAAGTACACATACAGTATTTAGAGGCACCTAACGTAGGGATAAGATTTTTTATTTACATTTGCAAATATTTTTCTTAGATGAACCTATAGAAGAGAAAATATGTTCAATTCTGTATGAACTTATTAGGGGGTCAGAGGTCATGGCGTGACCGAATCACACAGCGAGACGATATCTTGTCTACATATTTCTGTCACAGTGACACTGGTTTCGGAACTTCTGAACCGTCAAAGCGATGAAAAAGATAAAATTATTGAAACATATATTTTTTTTTTCGTTCAAAGTGATCGTTAGATCTTTCTTCGGTGTGAAGAATGTTCCTAATTAGCCTAAAATCACGCTTACCTTTTTAACCCGAAATTCCTTTGAAGGTATGTAAACTGAAGACGATAGCACCGCTTTTGACTTTATATATAAAGAACTCGTACAATAATAGTAAGATAATTCCCAGTAGCGATCATTGTTTTTTCATTATGAACAGATATTTCCTGAACTGGACTGCTAAACATCAATGTAAGTATTCAAATGTTGGAGCGAGGCGAACTCTCAAGACCAAACAACTTCTAGGTCATTGCGCGTCACAACATAGCAATACGGCGGGCCGTTCGTGTAATAAATGCAGTTCTATTCAGAATATTCGTCTCAAATGTAAATAAAAGTAATAAACAACAATGTTAAAAAGTTCACTGGGAAATGAACTTGGTTGGTACGTGATCAAATCTTCTGAGAAGCCCTTCGGGCTTCACAGGATTTGATCACGTGACCAACCAAGTTCATTTCCCAGAGAACTTTTTAACATTGTTGTTTATTTCTAAAGAAATGAAATAGATATACATCGGCAATTCTTCAAAATGTATGATCATGATGATTTCCTGTAAATCACATTCATAAATTGGTCTGTACAGTCAGTTTTTATTCTAATAAGCTTAGAGAATTGTCAGCATGGTATTTTTAAAGCTTATAAAATAAATTGGGGAAGGGGGAGTGGTAAACACACACTATCCACACGTCAGGCGATATTGTTAATTAATTAATAAATACTGTTTGTTCAGTTAATGACTGTCCCGGCTATCAAAATGTCCATACAATGTACGATGAATTATTGTTTTAATAATTATCGAAGTTTCAAAACTTCACGGCTATGGTGTGTTCCTAGCATTTAAACATTCTTAGAAGTAATAACATGTAATTGGTACAATGGTTTGAGATCAAGTCCAATTTATAGCTTTACAAACAAAGTTGCATAATTCATTACAAAAATAAAAAGGTTAGTCATTGAGAAATAATTATCGCTGTAGTGAAGCATTTGTAATTACTGTACTTTCCATATGTACATTGAAAGTCAACAGATTTGGCTGTGGAAAATTATTTATCAACTGTGAATGCGTTTGAGCTCTTAATCATCTGAAGACGTATATTATATGGTTTGAGGAAGGAAGTTTTTCCAATTTTAAGACGAGAATTCCTTCTCTTTATTGCCCCCTTTTCTTGCATTTCTTTGATATTCGAACATCGTTTCATTATTCGATCGTCGGTCCATTCGACTGACGGTCGAATAGTCGACTATTTGTTGACATTCCTAATAAAATTTAATAACTCTGAAAATCAAAAGGGGGGGTGGGGGGTGGGGGGGGGTCTGGACTTGGAAAATCATATTTATTTTATATATTTTAAACTTAAGTCTATTATTGATTTTAGTTACATCAGAAAATTTCTTTGTTTAATAATTTTACCAGAATTCATTGTTCTGTAGTAATTTTGAGAAGTAGAAAAGAAGATATTTTCATATCCTACCATCTGCACAAAAATTATAATAATCATGCAAGATTTCAAATTCAGTTTTATTATCATTTCTATTTATAGATGTAGAATTGAGGAGGAAAGAAAAATGTGATCTTTTAGATCTTTCCTCTCTAAATATATACAACATGTAAATATACTTTGAATGCTTTATTTAGTCAGAAACCTGACAGGTAACCTTCCCTAACAAAGCTTATTTTGCAAAGATACAAAAACTTTATTAAATGAATTCGAGAGAGCAATGTAAATTGATCCAGTGTAAGGGATGGAGTTATGCTGCCTTACCATTTGGTAACCTTTTTGGGTTGGCCAAAGCTGTATCCCTTCTCTTGGTATTCTTGCTGGCAGGTGATGCACTCTTCTTAACGCAAGGCTCCTTAGGTTAGTGAGGTACAGCTGTCATCAATTCTGTAAAACAGAGCTATAAGATCAAAATAAGATCAAAAGAGGTTCCAATATTAATGTAGATGTGAAGTGTAGACGAGCTTAACAAATATAGGTCACTGCAAGGAAGCAGGTTCATTTTTTGGTATTTTACCCTGTCTTCCATGGTTGGCTGCAGTTAATTCCCTTTTCTGGACTCTTCTTGATGAGAGATGGAGTTCTTCTCTACAATGAGATCAAGACTTGTGTAACTTTTATTCTACTATTAACGATAATCAATAAAGAGCTCAAGCGAGTGCTTAATTCCTTTGATTAAGAAGAAATAGAACACAAAATGAAAAGTTCACCTTCTTGCTATTTTTTCCAATGTTGGTCCACTGGCATTGTGTATACCCTGTATCCTAATTCTCGCAATTGTCTCCTCTTCCTTGTTTGATTGGCCATTCCTCCCGAGAGCCCTGACACAGATAGAAACTGACACAAGATTAGTTACAGTTCAAAATAACTGACAAAAAATGACAAATTTCTACAAAAGTATTATTACAAAAAATAGTGTGAAGATTACATTTAAGTAAATGGATGAAAAACATTTATAAAAGGAAAGTGCAATTATAGAAACTTAAGTAAACTTACACAAAAGAAATGTTGAATTCATCATTTCACAAATTAGGGTATAAAATGAATGAAATGAAACACTCATCATACTGCAGCTCCTGATGGACTGGATAGTCTCATCACCTGACAAATACTAGAAAACAGTTTTTTTAATCACCCCACCCCACCCCCTTCCAACCCTATATTTAGTGCACTCACATGGCGCAGTGGTTAGAGTCATGGACAATTAAGAATTTTGATTCATTACACTTTAAGTGAAATATGGGGATTTAATATATTTTGACTCTAAAAGGTCACGATTGTTAATCAAGTCCAACCTTTGAGCACAATTTGAAAACTGCAAGATTTCTAAGATATTATTTAGAGAATCATTGGAGGTAGAATAGCAGAAAACTAAATGACCTCTGACTTTAGATCAGCTAACATTAATAATTTTAAATTTAAAAGGAAAAAGGTAGACCTTTATGATGAAGATAATTCATGAAGCATATCATATGATTCTTGCATTTTAATTTGAAAAAAAAATATCCTTATTTATAATCTAATCTGATGTCAGGTCTGTACGTTAACCAAGATGTTGTATCGTCAAGATATGTTGCTCAGTCATGTACTGTATAAAGAGCATACTGCTGCATATAATTATATACATTACATAAACACATACAAACATAACTTGCACAAATATTACCCACTCATGAATGTACACCTGTCATACACATATATATATAAATATATATATATAAACATGCACCTATACTCGACTTAAGTCGGTTGTATTTTTTAAGCTTAAACTAGAGATCTATACCCACTAGAATATCATTCTTTTTATAACTCACGTATAAGTCGGATAAAGAACTTTGGACCAAAGTTAAACTCCCCCCCCAAAAAACGACTTATAGGTGAGTATATATACAGTATTCATAACCACACACATTATACTACATACAACAAGCATAACCCACCATTTTTTCTTCTTTTTTTTTTGTATTTTTTTTTTGTACTTTTTTTTTTTTTGTATTTTTTTTTTTTTTTTTTTTTTTTGGTAATTTTTTTTTGTAATTTTTTTTTTGTACAATGAAGACTTTAAGAAGTCTCTGACTGTGGCTTAAGCTCTACTGGTTTAAAGAAGGAAGCTAGAGGAAAGTACTTTATTGGACTATTAAAGTATGACAATAGCAATTTACAATATCAATATCAATTTAGTAATAATCCATGTATAAATCTCTTTATGTAGCAAGTTTTCTTGATATCATTTCAACACTGTCGGTCAAAATCCAAAACTGACACTGAAGTTTAATTATAAACTTTGTTGCCTACTTGTAGTTTATTAATTAAATTGAAATCAATCCAGACTTGTAGGGATTAAATCCAAAACTGACACTGCATCTTAATCACAAATTTTGTTTTTTACAGATCAACATACATTTACATGTACATAACAGATAAACACAGACGGACTGACGACAGAACCTTACCATCACATGATCTCTTTTTATCTTTGAAGAGCTACAAGCTCATCATCAGTTAAGTGGCATAATGACCATATACAGGACAAAAAAACCACTTACTGTACATCTAGCAGGCTGAGGTGAATTGAGGCGAGGCGAGGGTTGTGGCAGACAAACATACAGAATAGTGTGTGCAGATGAGACTAACAATACACAATCTCTAAATGCAACATACAAAATAACAAAGGACACACATGATACAATGCAAATACTGTATAATCTTGTATAAAAAAAAATTACATACCAAAATATAGAACACCAACAATAAATTCTGTCTCTTTTCTGAGTAATCACACGTAAAATGTAGACTGAATACAATCTATCAAATGTTTGCAGCAGATGCAACATTGAGACAACATGCATGCAAGTGTGGTTTGTAAGTGACTAATGTCAGACTCAGCAACAGACTCGTCATCAGACTCAGCAACAGACTCGTCATCAGACTCAGCATCAGACCGAGCATCCAAAGAAACAACATATGTACAAGTTTTGATCAGAACAATAACCTAACTGCTAAGAATAAACAGAGCCACTGAAGTAAGAAATATAGGTCAGATGCAGCAGCATCATATATACAAATTTGGTTTGGTTACAGCATTCAAGTAAGCATCCATGGAAGCATCAAGTACAAATTGGTCTGGTAACCACATCAGTAGAAGCATCATGTACAAATTTGGTTTAGATAACACTTGTAAAAAGCTGAGAACAAATATGATAACCTTACAAACAAAGAACTTAAGCATAAGATAATTAGTTCAAATGCAGCAGCAAGAGCATCCTCCTCTAATCTTTGATTTGAACACAGGACAAATAATAGACTGACAGCTATAGCAATTATAACTTAATATAATACAATAATACTTAAAGTGTAATGAAAGATCCTGAAACTTTCATAATCATTGCTTATAATTGAAGCCTTAAAATCAATATATTACCGGAATTATCCGTATTTTAAAGAAATTCTTAACTTTTTTTGAATGTTGTGTTTTTGAGGAAAATAAATTTCCTAACTAGTCTTGTTAACAAAGAAGAATCGGATACTAGTATTGCTAACGCGTTCCTTCAACCAAGCTACCGTTCTTGGTTTCAATCATTTTAGGTATATGGATCAGACAAACTGTAACGAGGTTTTTTTTACTTCCGAAAGCTTTAAAATTTCTACAGTGACAATCGATTACGAAATATCAAATTGATAAACGGATATAGCAAGCGGTACGTCGATCAACAATCAATTATCAGCAACAATTGTTTCATCTATAACATTATAATACATTGATATATTAATTAATACAACAAAGCAATGCAATCATAGACCCCCAAAATAGTGGTATCTCAGGAATGGAGCCGAATCATAAAGGAGACCCACTGTGTAAATAAAATTAATCACTAGACTTTACAGCTATCTTAATCCAAACCCAGAGAAATTAACACTATAAAAAATAAACCCGTAATCATGAGAGAGAAAAAAATGCCCATTGAAATTTTCATCAATTAAACTAGGGGAGAGGTGGACTGAAATTCAAGTATAGTTAACAAATATAATATCCTGAATTTATTATATTAAATCTGATGAAATGAAATGATTGATTCCAGTTAAAAAATAACAATTATTGAGCCTGAAATTATATATTAACTCGCAACCCCAAAGAAAAGAAAGAGAAGTCCCACCTGGTCAGGAAACCCATGAGACACGCAAACATATATAATTTCACACATAATACAAAACAATAAATGACTTTATACATCAAATAGAAACATCTCAAGGACGGATCTCAATATTAGAGGTACTAAATGAAATTGAGGAAAATGAAATGGAAACCCGGCCAATTCAAATTAAAAAGTTAACAATTTAACAGTTTAATTTCACAACCAAAAGAAAAAACATTTCTAAAAAGTTAACGAGAGAAGACTAAATGAAATTTAAACTGAAAAATTAACCTCAATGTGGAAATGAGAATAAAATAATTGAACCTGATCTAGATAATAGTATGTGCACGAGTTAATTGAGATATTTATAAACCACACTCATATGAAAATATAACAAGAATTTTTTTTTTTTGAATCAATACAATTATGAAAATAAAAACAGGCTGAAATAAAGAAAGAAACCTGAATTTCCTAAATTTATCTAAAATTATCAATCTAAATTTAGGTCCTATTTAATCAAAAATTCACTTACAGAGACCCCTTGAGATGCACAAAAACACTTTACAGTACAATATAAATATATTACAACACATAATTTAATGCACGAAATACAAACAAAATATTTTTAACTATTTAACTTACAGAGAAAGGAAATTAATTTAATTAAGGTGGAAAATAGATATACCCTAATTAATAATGAAACTCCTAAATTTAGAAGGACCAAAATCTTAATTGTTCCAATGTGTATACTGTTATAGAAATAAGGAGGAGAATTCATCTCGAGAAATTAATTAAATTAATCAAAAATGAAACTAATAAATTTACCAATTTTAAATTCAATATGACTGAGATTTTTTCTCTCATAAATGACAATGTCTAAATAACGGTGTGTGCTTGAGTTGAGATACTTAGACAAAGCATCCACGAGAGAAAAAAGTTAACGCCTACGGTACTTTTTTTAAAGAAAGAATTAACCTAGACTGAATTAACATATTATTAACAGCTACTGGTGATTTGAAATTAATGTAAGGAAACAAAATGGCTCATAAATTTATAAAGTAATTCTGACCTTAATAATGAGAATTTTAGGACAGTGAAATGTCAAATTAAATGAATTCATTAACTATCAAAAGAAAACCCAAATTATATAACATACATTACACTATATCAGCTGGTGAAAAGAGGGGGAAATTAAGAAAAGATAATCAATTCTCACAATAATTAACCAAATATCATAAAGTTTATCATTCCCAGGACTGCCAAGATATATACAAAAAATAAATCAGTGTATCACAATGTACAAGATATGAATACAAAGTGTCAAAAAAAACTCATCATGCACACACAAAATACAATGGAAATGGAGAGAACTTGGGTAAAATGAGCTAATTCAATAATAATCAGAGAGATGGATTTTAGAATTTACACAACAGATAGTTAATAATTTTTAGGAATATTTGAGCCTTACTGTAGTTGTACCACTTGAAAAATTGAAATTAAATAAAAGAAAGAAAAGGAAAATACTCTAGTAAGTTAAATCCTATTTATCAACTTAATCAATTTAAAAGTAAATTAAATCCATTTTACCAACTAAATCAATATGCTACTAAATTAAATCTTAAATTACTTCCTATCTATCAAATAAATCAATACTCTAATACATCAAACCCTGTTTATAAATAAATCATTATTTTTAATAAATCAAATATTATTTATCAACTAAATCAATACACTAATAAATTAATTCCTTTTTATTAACTAA